CTCCCACTCTAAAAAAAACGAAAAAAAAGAAGAAAAGAAATGGAGGAGCACTAGTTGCTTAACGAATCTAGGTAGATTCAGCTAGTGAATTGACAATATCCCTCTAATTTTCTATATTGTAATAATGTGTAGGATTCATTAGCCGGTTGCCTTCATATGTGAAGTTATATAGGGACCTCCAACACTCGGCGGTAATGGCACGTGCCAAAGGCCGTATATGGACCTCCGAGGATCGGCGACTATAATTCCTCCAAACCACCCAAAAAAAAAAAATGGCGACGGTGAATAAGGATCAAAAGGCAAAGGTATGTTCTCCAATAATATATTCTACTTGAAGCTCACCAATAAATAGCCAAGTGCCCTTCGCTCCATCCTTGCGGGGTCCACTGCCGGAGCCGTGGAGATCGGTAAAGAGCTCAATGACCCCCTACCAGGCTGTTAGCTAACGCGTATCCTACAGCGATCACATACCCGGCCGAATGTATGAACCTTCGAATCCCTTACAGCAATTGGTGCTAATGCTATGTAGTTGCGAAGACCCGGACTCAACTCAATCGCCAGCTTACCCACGGCCAAAAGCTACCATGGCCACCGTTCGGAAGCCAGTGGTATGCAGGGTGTACAACACTGATTATCGGAAACTCGCTCAAAGCTGGAATCCGTGCGTCTACCTCCCGCAATCGTCTGGGCTGCCGTTGATATATACTAGGATTCGTCGCCTTCGATGCCATAAAATCGGTTCTCCAGGATGAGAACGGCAAGATCTCAGGACCAAGGACGGTTGTTGCTGGATTTGGTGCTGGATTCACCGAATCTCTTTTCGCCGTCACCCCCTTTGAAAGCATCAAGACCCAATTGTAGGTTCCCATCCTATTTTTGGGCTGGCTCTACTGACCAAACTATAGAATCGACGACCGGAAGTCTGCCAACCCCCGGATGCGTGGTTTCCTGCACGGTAGCAAACTCATTTTCAAGGAAAGAGGTGTCAAGGGCTTCTTCCAAGGCTTTGTGCCCACTACAGCAAGACAGGCTGCCAACTCGGCAACTCGATTCACAGCCTATACAACATTGAAGCAGTTTGCAGAAGGCTACACGGCGCCAGGCGAAAAGCTGGGCACTGCAGCCACCTTTGGAATCGGTGGGATCGCAGGGCTCATCACTGTGTAAGTCTTGGTCCCTGAAGAAGATGGAAAGGCGTAAAAAGATTACAAATCCAAACTAACATGAATCAGTTATGTGACCCAACCATTGGACACGGTCAAGACAAGGTCAGTACCCCCACACCTTAATGATATAAGGTACTAACGATATCAGAATGCAATCGCTCGAGGCCAGTAAGCATTACAAGAACAGCATTGTTTGCGCAACAAGAATCATCAAGGATGAAGGTGTCTTCACTTTGTGGTCTGGCGCCATGCCGCGACTTGCGAGATTGATTATGAGTGGAGGAATTGTGTTCACCATGTTTGTGATCGACCCTAAGTTATATGAAAATTGCTAACTGTTGGATAGGTATGAGAAGGCTATGGATGGGCTGGACCTCTTGGATCCGGAGCGAAAGTATTTGTAGAATAGATTCGGACCTTAATAGAATACATGGTATCTTTGTACATGAAAAGAATGATGCTATTTACTCTTTGCTTTTGCCATGTCCTCGGCAACCATGGCCTCAACTTCACTATCAGTCATCCAGGTCCGCACACTATTCATCACAGTGTCCAAACCATCACCGCCATCAAGAATACTATCCAGATTGTGGATCGTGATGCCTGTGCGATGGTCAGTGCAGCGACTTTGGCCAAAATTGTAAGTTCGAATTTTATCGCCTCGACCCATTTTGGCCACACCACCCAGTATACCTCGTCTGAGCTGCATGAGCTCTTGCTCGCGGGCTTCTTGCCGGGCTTCGGCCAACTTTGCCCGTAGCATCTGCCACGCCTTTCTCCGATTGGCCTGCTGGGACCGTTCATCTTGCATGGATACGACCGTATGTGTGGGGATATGGGTCAGTCGAATGGCGGACTCGGTTTTGTTGACGTGTTGTCCACCAGCACCTCCAGCCCTCATCTTTTCAACCCGCACCTCTTGCGGGTCAATGTAGTAATCGCTGTTTGGATCTTCAAAATTCAAGGCACTATCCATCTCGCTGCCGTCCTCTGGGAAACTCGGCAAGACCATTACGCTGACGGCGCTGGTATGGGTGCGACCCTTAGTCTCGGTTGCGGGTACTCTCTGCACCCTATGTACCCCCGATTCAGTCCGTAATATGTCATATGCACCATTGGCTTCAATTTCAATAACTGCTTCACTGAGACGGTCGTCGGACGGACCAACCTCTGTGTCCTGCTTCAAAATTGTTGGGCGAAGGCCCCTTCGGGAGCAAAAGGCAACGTACATCCGTAACATCTCAAAAGCGAACAATCCTGCCTCATCTCCACCTGCACCGGGTCGGATTTCCAGCAAGCAAGGAAGGTCTGCAAATGGATGTCGGGGTATGAGAGCCTTCTTCAGTCGGTCCGATATCGTCGGCAAGGCATCGCGACTGCTCTCAAGGTCTTCCGTTGCCAAAGACCGTAGTTCGGCATCGGTGCTGGGGTCAGTTAGTAGGGATTTGAGCTCGACGATAGACTAGTGGAATTAGTACGGCTCCAATAAAAGACTCCAAGGCACATACATCGTTGGCATTGACCCATTCTTTCAAGATATTTGCAATAGGTGCCAATTCCCCGGCTCGCTTGGCAGTCTTTGCGTCAAAGGACTCTCCCAGTCGTTCCGAAAGCTTTGTATGTTCAGCTGCAAGTAGGCGGGCTCTAGTTAAAAGAGCTGGAGATAAGGTAGAATCGGATGCTTCGCGAATTAGCATTGATCAGAAAGTAATCAAAACCGGTCTTACCAGTATGTACACCTCGTAAAGGCGACCATTTCAAACCAAGCCTAGGCAAGATAGTTCGACATATTGACTTGACGAGCATACTTGTCAGTTAATGACCAAAATTCGGAGTGAAGGTGATTGACAATTCCATGTCACATGACGGTAACGGAACAATAGGGCGTAAAGGCCACGGAGTATGCTCATCCAGCTTTCGACTTTCATTGTTCTTTGTTCTTTGCACTTTTTTCATTTTGACCTGGGTTTTTGGATTATGCTCTTCTTCTTGCACTCCTAGGGAGATTAATTCTATACCAAACTCCTCGTTGACACCTTTATTACATCGTTACTGCATCACTACAGCGTCGCATAACTCTCAAGATGCTTGTTTCTTTGGAATCACTCACGGCCTTTCTGGCTTGTTTCTCGGCTGGATACGCCCTTGAAATTCCCTCGGACACACCTCTATCTGAATTGATTTCTTCCGCCAAAGCCCACCTCGCCCAAGGCTCACCCCGAGATGCCGTAGTATACTTCGACGCCGCCGTCTCGCGCGATCCAACCAACTATATCACTATCTTCCAGCGGGGCGCGGCTTATCTTTCCATTGGCAAAAACTCACAAGCCTCGATCGACTTTGATCGAGTTCTAGAACTCAAGCCAGACTTCGAGGGCGCTCTTCTACAACGATCTCGCTTAAAGGCACGCTCCGCGCATTGGGAAGAGGCCTTGCAGGATCTCGAGAGGGCTGGAAAGAAGGCGACGGATGACTACAAGGAATTAGAAGCCGCACGCGATGCGGCCACCTTGGCTCTCAGCGCCGAAAAGCAGGGCGACTGGGAGACGTGTGTCTCAGAGGCAAATGTGGCCATCCTAAAGGCAAATACGGCACTCCCTCTACGGCAGGCTCGAGCACATTGTCACTTTGAAAAAGGGGAGACGGAAGAAGGGCTCAGTGACCTGGCACATGTCCTACAGATGTCCCCAAGCTTGGTCGAACCTCACCTGCAAATGTCGTCTATGCTGTTCTACTCTCTAGGAGACAATGACCGTGGCCTTGCTCAAATCCGTAAATGTCTCCATGCTGATCCCGACTCGAAACCGTGCAACCGTCTCTATCGACGTGAACGGAAGCTTGTCAAGCAGCTAGAAAAATTGCATACTGCCCTGGGCGCACGCAAATTCAGCAATGCAGCGAATCTCATGGTCGGCGATAGCGAATCTAGTGGGCTGATTGCAGACATTAAGGCCGATGTTGAAGAAGCACGACAGGCTAACCATATCCATCGCCTGGCACCAAATAATCTTTATACATTCCTAGTCGAGAAGACCTGCGAGGCTTACCGTGAAGTGAGTACCCACGTCACGTTTGGTTTCTTGTCACTAACGTACTATAGATGCGTATGATTAAAAAGGCTGGTCCTTACTGCGCTGAAGCTCTCCAGCTTGTCCCTCACTCGCTTGCTGGCCTCCTGTATCAGGCTCAGACCGCTTTGGACGAGGATCGATTCGAGGACGCCATACGTACGCTCGAATTGGTCAAGGAACACCACCCCAGTTCCCAGGAAGCGCAATCTCTCCGCCAAAAGGCTCAGACCTTACTCAAGCGTTCCAAGCAGAAGGATTACTACAAGGTCCTGGGTATCAGCCGTGATGCAGATGATCGGACGATCAAGCGCGCGTATCGCCAGCTAGTGAAGCAACACCACCCTGATAAGGCCCACGCGCAGGGTGTAAGCAAGGAAGAAGCAGAGAAGAAGATGGCTGCCATCAACGAAGCCTACGAGGTTCTATCTGACTCCGAACTCCGGACACGGTTTGATAATGGCGATGATCCCAATGATCCTGAGTCACAACAGCGGGGCAGTCAGTTCCAGGGCAACCCATTCGGTGGTGGTCAACAGTTCTTCTTCCAGCAGGGCGGTCCGCAATTCCAAGGAAATTTCAAATTCCCTGGTGGATTCCGCTGATCGGATTGTCTTGGAACATAGGTGTTCGTGGAGTCGATGTATTTGAAAAGCTATGAGAAATAAGTTTAGGAAAGCACACTTTTTTTTAATTGAATTGAAGTGAAAAAAAGCTATGAAAAAAAAAAAAACTTAAGAAAAAAAAAAGGGTCTGGATTGCAATCTCATCCTCGTGGAGCATCCGTCAAGGGCACGTAACTCACTTGGAAGACCTTTTCCTTGCGAATGGATCCGTCTTCCTTTTTATCCACCACCCAGATATACTGACCCCCGTTGAGATCGGTACTCTCATCCGATTCCACTGGAATGAAGAGTCTCCCAGGAGCACGCAGTTGGTCCACTAGGGTTGGGTGAAGCTGGTCGGCTGCAGCGCCAACATGGATGGCATCGTACGGTGCACCTTCTTTCCATCCAAGGCGTCCATCACCAGTGATGAACTTGACGGTTTTGGATGTCTGGAATTCACTACCTTTCTTGGACTTGTCCATGTTGGTGCGAGCCAAGTCTGTCAGCTCGGAAATATGGTCAATGCCAATCACCTGTCCCTGAGTGTTGGAGTCGGTCACCAGATTGGCAAGGACGTGGGTCAAGTACCCTGAACCAGATCCGATATCTAACACTCGAGCACCTGGTTTAATATAATCAATCAGATACTCACATGCATGGACATGCATGTGCGGTGCTGATATGGTGGCTCCATATCCAATGGGCTGAGGCGAGTCCGAATACGGCCGAGATGGAGCATAATGTGCTCGGTCGACCTTTTGATATGTTAGGAAAGACGAATTAAGAAATATATGTTTTCATATGCTCACCCCAATCATGGCATCTTTCACACGCTCATTCTGGATCAGTCCAGCCTTGGATAGGTTCTCAATCAACTCGGTGTTGGTAGATCCAGAACAATACCACGCCATGGTCATAGCCCTTGTTGCTCTAAGTTTTGGTATACTGGGTATGCTAAACATGGAAGAATGTGTGAAAAGGAAAGGTTTCTCTTTGGCCAATTACATAGTATGTACATATGACTATATATATAATGACGCCATGATATCCGCATTCACACGTGACACTTCAATCTGTTCCTATCTTCTATAGTATGATGAAGATATGTATTTCTAGTATACTACATGTGTATATTTCAAATCAAATTATTTCAATTCAACCCAAGAAGTGAATGAGCTGGAATGGAAAGTCACGTGAACATATCAAAAACACCATTGATGGATGCTAGGAATAGATATTTACCGATTAATCACGCCGACTAAGCCCATCAACGCAATCGCCGTGAGAACAGCTGCATCCCTAGGGCATCATGGAACCCTCTAGGACCACTCACTTACCTTTCATCTGATTTTCCCCCACAGTGATTTCAAAATGGCGGGTCAAAATCCTGGCATTCGAGCCACGGTGGATCTGTTGATCCTCGACTATATGGTCTGCCTGTGTGTCAGTGGGCTCCTAGAAGTGATACTCGAAGGAAGACCAACCGACGACATTGAATGGTTTGCACTTTTCGTTGAACGTAAGCACCAGAACTTCCTAGCAACGGACCATTCATACTCACTACTCTAGAATTCCACCGGCTGGTTCTCGGTCATCGCCTTGAAGGCCCTCTACCTTGGGATCTGGACCTTAAATTGCGCATCTTCTACCTGTCCAATCTATTTCTGCACTGGGACCCTCCTACAGATCGCGACCTCAGTCACTTTGTGCCCCTGTCCGACATAGCAGTTCAGTTCATGGACCTCTGCCACTCCGCAATCGACAACGTATCCCGGAGACGTTGGTTCGACCTCGGTGCCCACTTCATGGTTCATGCAATGCTGGAAGAACAAGCGCGCTTCCCCGATCAACTCCAGAGACTCTGCAACTGGAGAACCAATGACGATGAACTCGATATATGGTGGGAGGTCAGCCGTACTATGTTCCTGGAGCATTTGCCACCCCCATTTGGTACTGCGGATCCAATGAGCCGAGAGGAGGTTGATAAAACATTCCCTCCCCAATGCCTACAGAATCGTTTTGTTGATTTTTTCGTTGATTTCATGGATATCCTGGATGTGCCCCTTCTTCTTCAGCTGGAGCATGGTCAGCTGGAAGGTATGACCAGGGAGGAGACGCAGCAGGTTCGTGAGTACTGTGGATTTTAATAGTCCCACCCAAAAGACAGAACATGTCCTCTTATCTGCTCTTATGGGTGATGTCAAGTCGAGTGATCGTGTGAGGGCCAGAGGTCCACGGATTTGTCTAAAATGCAACACCACCATGTACACTAACGTGATCACCACTTTGATTCAAATCTCAATCAATTTTCAACCGATAAATATCGAAAGTAACATTCAACACAATAGTACTCAGAGCCCACAAGACCTGTCCTTGACATGGCATTTATATCTTGGAACATAATAATTTACAAAGGGCGCAAGGCCGCTCTAGGTACGAGAACACAGATAATAAAAGGCGCGTGATAAAACACTCATGTCACTTAGCCAAGCAGCATGCGCCGGGGGTCCTCAATGTATTCCTTGACCTGCGATGGGATTAGTGAGGGATTTTCGGGCGGATGAGGTGATAGACATACCTTGACAAGGAAAGTAACGGCCTCGCGACCATCCAAAAGACGGTGATCATAGGTAAGAGCGAGATACATCATCTAGAAATATCAGTAAACCGAAGAAAAAAAGTGATTGGATTGCTTCTACGTACGGGACGGATCTCAACCTTGCCATTCACAGCGACAGGCTTGTCCTTAATGGCGTGGAGACCCAAAACAGCTAGACAAAATTAGATACGAAGTCACCCCAGAGAAAAATAGTACGAGAACTGACCTGTTTGAGGAACGTTGATGATTGGTGTGCCCATCAAAGAGCCGAAGACACCACCCTGAGTTATGTTAGCCGTTTTATTCTCAAAAGACACACACACACACAAAGACAGGAAACATACGTTGCTGATGGTGAAGGTACCACCGGCCATGTCTTCAATGGTCAATTTGTTGTCGCGAGCCTATTAAAGGTCAGTAAAACTGGACATCCCTCCCCCAGAAAAACAACTGCTCACCTTCTTTCCGAGATCGGCGATGGCCTTCTCGATTCCAACAAGATCCTTGCCTTCGGTGTTACGGACAACAGGAGTCACAAGACCCTTCTCGGTGGCGACTGCAACGCTGATGTCAACATAGTCGCGGTAGACAATGGTATCACCGCCGTTGGGGCCCTCGATGGAAGCGTTGACAGCGGGGATATCCTTCATGGCAAGCACACAAGCACGGGAGAAGGCGCTCATGAAACCAAGCTTCACACCGGTCTTCTTGAGCACATCATCCTTGTACAGTTTCCGGAACTCCATCAGCGAGGACATGTCAACCTCGTTGAAAGTAGTGAGAGAAGCGGCGGTATTCTGGGACTGCTTCAGGCGCTCAGCAATACGCAGACGCATACGGTTCATTTTGACCTAGACCAAAAATTAGTTTAAGCCTAAGTTCAAAAGGCATATTGGTGGTCAACATACCCGGCGTTCCTCGCGGCCACCAAGAGCTGGCTGTTCAGAGGCTTGGGGCTTAGACTCGGTCTTGGGAGCCTCCTTGGGGGGCGCAGCCTTCTTAGGTTCGGGCTCCTTGGGCTTCTGGGTCTCGGCGGGGGTGGGCGAGACATCCTTCTTGGGCTCAGGCTCCTTGGGTTCGGGCTCCTTGGGCTTTTCAGCGCCCTCGTCCTTCTTTCCGCCCTCGGGAGCGGCGCCAAGCTCGATCTTGACGAGATCCTGGCCAACAGTAACGGTATCTTCCTCGTTTACGAGGAACTCCTTGATGGTACCAGACTCCGAGGCATTGACCGAAACGTCAATCTAACAGAAAACTCATGTTAGTCGACAGTACTAGTCGCGAGGGGTGAGAGAGAAGTTGGTATTTTACCTTGTCTGTTTCAATCGTCGCAATTTCCTCGTCACGCTCGACGAAATCGCCAACCTCTGTACTGGAATAAGTAAATGTTCAAATGTCCAACCACGGCTAAAGCACCATACGTTTTGAGAACTGCTTGAGGGTACCCTCTGTGATCGACTCAGCCATGCTGGGGACCTTGATGATGGAGTCGGCTAAGCACTATTAGAAATTGACCAACAAGACCGCTTAGGAAAAGCATTTACCATAGGTGCGGAGTTGGTGACCTCCCAGAGGAGCAAGGTTGAGTCGCGAGACATTGATGCTGTAAGATTGTATGAGCTAAAATTGCGACGGATGGTAATAACATAGATACACTTACCCGGAGGAAGAGACCTGCAGCAAACCCGAAGCTGAGCGAGCCAAAGTCTTCCGCGTGAGGGTAGACAATCCCTTGACATTGCGGAACTGGCTTGATGCCCGAGGAGTGGTCCTGGCCACAGCCGAGAAGCGCTGGCCCGAGAGGCGCGCAATAGAGATTCGAGAAGCCATGGTGAATTAAAGCAAAATTTATTCAACTGGGTAAAAGTCAAACCGGAGGTGTAGATAAGAGAAAAAGCTTCAACTCTAAAAATTAGAGGAAGCAAAGAAGATCAAGCTCGGATTAGATCGGGTCCTAAGGTAAACCGGGCACCTTTCCGGCAGAGGCGGACTATTCTTCCTCTACGGCGAGGGGGAGAGACCATTAAAGCAGGTTTTGCTACGGGGCAGGGTAGTGACCATTCGAGCAAATTTCATGCCGAACGAATTAGGAAGCCCAGAATAGTCAACCTGACGACATTGAAACCCTCAACCCCAACTCATTGTCCACCAAGGACACTAACAATCTCCAAAGGCTGTCACTTTTGTTTGACGGACCTGTGTATTAACACGCCTTTTTTCTGTTTTCCTTTTCCTCTTTTAGCCGGCCGGAATTGGACCCGGGACAAAACTTGAGCACAATGTCCACCTACGCTGTTAAGTGAGTAGCCCGATGTTCCCCTAGAGGGACTGTTCGCTGATCTACTACAGGTCGCTCTACCGGCGCTCCCTGAAACTGTCCCTTGACTGGGCGGTCCACCGGCAGATCTGGCGTGGACAAGCAGTTTATATCCGATCCCTTTTCGAAGCCAACAAGGACGTCCGCGATCCTCGCCAGCAACAGGTATGCGAAACTGAAATCCCATGTTTGGCAAACCTAACACACCCTCTAGGTTTTACTGCGCGAGACTGAGAAGCTCTTGGAGACCTGGAAGCACCCTGACCCATACCGGGCACCTACTGCGCCTGGCGGCAACAAATGGGAACGCAACCTGCCGGCCCGAATCCTGCCATGTACGTTCACATCCCCATGCAACCTCGAATTTGCGCTCACCATGAAACAATATAGATGCCGAGCCCTCCGGTGCACACTAAGTCAAATCAATATCGCAAATCACAATATGAGAATTCGACCAATTACAAACATCAACTATGCAACATGAAGTTCGCGTCTTTCCTACAAATGTAGAGTACCCCAAAGCAGAATCTAGAATTTCGTTCATGTACAATAAATAGCCACAAGAACATCAAGTCACCAAGAATTCGATTTATTATGTACAATGTATACAAGTATGACAGACAAGTCAGTAGATTTAACACTTGAAAGACCTGGAGTTTTCATTGATTTGGGCTCATGCCTAGAGCTAGTATCCGAAAGTTGAAATCCCTCAAGCAAGTTAAGGTCGTCGGTATCATTCCATGTCCTTAGACATAATGTACAACCAGGAAATTGATGGAAAAAAAAGAGAAAACGCAGAGCCATAACGTGCCCGTCCCATAACCCCATTATCGTGTCAAAGAACCAATCCGCGCCAGAAAAGAAAACAAACCCGCGAAAAAAGATAGAACCCTTACAGCTCCTGGCTGCCCTTGCCGGCCTTGGGAGTCTTCTTGGGGAGAAGGTCTGGAAAACATGTTAGCATATGCAAGAATATAAAACTTGAAATGTGGTAACGTACTCTGGTGGATGTTGGGGAGAACACCACCCTGGGCAATGGTGACGTGACCCAAGAGCTTGTTCAGCTCCTCATCGTTGCGGATAGCAAGCTGGAGGTGACGGGGGATGATACGGGTCTTCTTGTTGTCACGGGCGGCGTTTCCAGCCAGCTCGAGAATCTCAGCAGCGAGGTACTCGAGAACGGCAGCGAGGTAAACGGGAGCACCGGCACCGACACGCTGGGCGTAGTTACCCTTGCGGAGCAGACGGTGGACACGGCCAACGGGGAAGGCCAAACCAGCCTTGGAGGAACGGCTGGAGAGATTGATGTCAGTACGAAACGTACACAATATTATACAAGACGCGAAATGTAAACAACTTACGACTGCGCGTTCTTGCTGCCGCTAGCCTTGCCGCCGGACTTTCCGCCAGTCATTTTGATGGTTTTGAGAGGGAAAAGAGGGGTGTGGTTGTGGGAAAAAAGGAGAAGAAATTTGAAGATTGAGAGCTGAAGTTATGGTGTAAAGTCGCAAGAGCAGGTGGGAGAGCGTGTGGAAGCGGAGGACCTTTATAAGGACGCGGTGAGGGTGACGTTGGGGCGGCATCAATGGTCCTCCAGATCACGGTCTCGCTTAGTTGTTGCAGCCAATGATCAATCAGATCAGACATTCTGCTTTAGGGATGGTGTGGTAATTTAAACTCATTACCATACCTGACGGTCAGCTGAGCGTAGTTCTACCCCACATTTCCCACCTTAAGACGCGTCAATGTCAGTTTAATCATACAGATCATACCAACTGGTTACCGTATTGAAATTCGGCCTCCTTTGCACCCCCCTCCAGGATCAACTGGCCTTTGGAACACGAGTATAAAGATGGTGTCTCCCCTCGTCACCGCGTCTCTCTAACTTCCCCTTCCACATTCCATCTCCCACCCACACGCTTCATCCATCTTTACTCTTAAACTCTTTCAAATCCCTTTTTTTTTTAACCTTTCCAAATCATATTCAAAATGCCCCCTAAGGCCGCTGAGAAGAAGCCCTCCACCGGTGGCAAGGCCCCCGTTGGCGGCAAGGCCCCTGCTGAGAAGAAGGAGGCTGGCAAGAAGACTGCCACCGCTGCCACTGGCGAGAAGAAGAAGCGCGGCAAGACCCGCAAGGAGACCTACTCTTCTTACATCTACAAGGGTTAGTTGATTCTTGAAAACAACATAAACCACAACACAAAAAAACGCGTCCGTACTGACTCATTTCCAGTCCTCAAGCAGGTCCACCCCGACACTGGTATCTCTACTCGTGCTATGTCCATCCTGAACTCCTTCGTCAACGGTATGTTTTTCTCGTCACCAAAAAAAAAACGCGTTTACGCGTTTATCACGTCACATTTTCTGACCTGTTCGTTTTCTAGACATTTTCGAGCGTGTCGCTACTGAGGCCTCCAAGCTGGCTGCTTACAACAAGAAGTCCACCATCTCCTCCCGGGAGATCCAGACCTCTGTGCGCCTCATCCTCCCCGGTGAGCTGGCCAAGCACGCCGTCTCTGAGGGCACCAAGGCTGTGACCAAGTACTCTTCCTCCGCCAAATAAGCGGTTTTTTTACGTTTTATTTCCAGCTTGCTTTTGTTTTTACTACCTCTTGATCTGTTATGGGCTCTGAGGTGGTCGGTTATGGGTGTTTTTGCGGGTTTCTAATGCGTCATGGGATGGCTTGAATTTTCTTTTCCCCGATGGGTGATTTTTTTTGAATGGTTACCACTCGATACGTGAATGCGGTGTAACATAACTCGGGTCTGGGGCAGGCATGGATTGGCCTCCCCTACTAGAACGCGAAATTCCAAATGCTTAATTGCATTGCATCATGATTATATTTCTCTTCGTAGATTTTCCCCCAGTGTGCAAACTAGGACGAAGTAAAAGCCATCTGCATCTCTATATTTCCATCTCATCTGAATCGTCCAGCGCCTCAACTTCATCAAGAGCCTCGGCCCGACCATGGCCATGATCTGACTCATGCTGACTGGGGAAGATGTGCACGATGGGCTGTCCAGGCGTAGATTGAATTCGTTTCTTCCAGTCAGTCCAATCATAGTCATTCTTGATGAGAAATCCGATGAGCATGCTTGGATCCATGTCCTTGATATGGATTCTCCGCAGACGGCATGTGTAATAGCTATCCAGTTCCTCTTGGGTGTAAAGCCCATTTGGTCGGTATGATGTTGCAGGTCGGGTGGTATGCGGATCAAGGAAAAATAGATGGCAGCCTTGGGCCCCTACAAAGTAATGCGATGCCGATGGGCGTCCGCTATTTTAGTTAGCGAACACTTCATATCGAACAGGTACATGAACCTACCCTGCAATGCCAACGGATTGGGGGTATGTTAGCGCAGCTCGGAGTCCGTCCCAGTACGCCGGGGTGACATTATCAATCCCTAACCTGGTCCCAATCAGGATGAGTGTTGGCTGAATTTGGCCTGATTTGTCGTGGGCCACGTGTGCAAATTTGTCTTCGTAAACGTCCGAGGTGTCATTGGTTGCATAGACCCTAAGTTGGGGAGTCTCGCATTCAGTTGAAAGTAGCCTGTCACCATCAGCATCACTCTGTGATTCGAGATTTTGTACCACGTACTGAATACATTTAGCAGTTGCCGACGGTCCAAACCATTCACCTGGATATTTCCCGCATGATTCTGCACCGCGATTGACAAATCGATGTATAGAGAAGGGAGCATCCGGGTGATCGGCGAACATTGATATTAGCTTTGACTCTTCCTCCACTTTCTCCCCTCGACGCCAGTCTAGTATATCTGATTAGCTCTGGATGTTTTTTTGCTTTGTCTTTTATTTATTTCAGGCATGATGAAGTGCGTCTCTTACCTCGTCCTAGTGATAGAACTGAAAAGGTATTTGCCAAAAGGCTTTGTCCAGATCTGATCATGCAGCCCCACCCAGTGTCTGATGTAAAACCTTGGGGGTCCATCAGCTGACTTCTCAGACGTACCCCCAGTGTCATCGAGGATGTTGCTTCTGGTGTCTTCGCTCGTGGGATCGGTGTGAAATTTGATCGATATGTGATCCAGATCCTCGATCCAAAATCGGAGAGAAATGCCTTTGGCCATGCTGTGTCATTCAATGTGCTAGCACCCGGCTGCCTTGGGGGGCTGTGTAGATCGTTGGCTGCACGGGATGTTAGATGTAGGATATGGGGCTATATATTTACATGAAGACTCACTGGCCTGCTCACTGGGTGGTTGCGGGGTATACTCCCTGCCCAGGCACGATATCGACGTCGCAGGTACATCATTTCTAGGTTCTGGGTCCCAGAAGTATTGTACTATGCGTTTGCACTTTTCCATATCCACGCTCATGGTTGGTGTTGGTTTTTTGCCGTGGATCTGTTGTATGGTAATGTGATTGTGGTGGGTGATTCAAGCTCGGAGGTGATTAGATAGATATATATATATCTATACACCCAGGTAACATCCTTTGAAAACCAACTCGATGACCTAAAACCAAGTGATCAAGGTCATAAAAAGAACCGAGGGAAAACCTCAAACAAAAAAAAGAGATTTGAAAGATAAACGGTAAAAAAGCTCTGGAGTCGAATCTTCGATGGAGGGGAATCCGCCTTCAGTCACGAGCCAAGACGTCACCGACTACTCGACTACTCCATATGGTATTCATCTATTAGTCTACACTATATATACTCTACTGGAAAAATAGATCTCCGTCCCAAATAAAAAAGAAGAAAAACAAGTATACACTTCATAGTTATATATTTGTTACCTTTTATAGAATGACGGTCACCGCCCGGACCTGACCCAAAGGCAAAAGATTCACCCTTATTTTTTTTTTCCTATCAACATATCAGATTCACCACCCATGGCCCGTCATGGGAAATCCAAGGCCCGTACCAGGGCCCCAAGGGCTAGAGGTAATTAATGTGCCCCCATTCCATGACGAATACTAACCTGAAAAAAAGACCCATCGCCACACCAGTTCACTATGCAGCAAGAAGCCCGGAATACCGAAACCCATCAGCGATCATGGGCAGACAGCAACCTTCGTCACAAAGCCGTTCACTTCGTGAGCGCGGGAAGTCTGGAACCGACATTGGAAGCAGATGAGGATCAAACAAAGTTGGACACGGATGGGGAGGAACCAAAGACCGACCATTTACCGGACAAAAAGCCCGATATCGAGTTTCCATTCTTCTTCGACTCCAAGGGACAAGGAATCGTCCATACCGAACATCCAGACCCAGTATTGCCGTCGAAAGTATCGGATACAGACGACTCGAGTGAGGATGAGGTTGTGTTTACCGGCAGGAGGAATACAAAACCTGTTCTCATCGAAACGCATCAGAACGAGATTCAAGAAATCGTGCAGACGACTACTGTTGCATATCTGCAGAAATTACCAACTCCACCGTTGGACTCTACGCCCAGGGACCCTTCGCCTGCTGCTACCCCCACAGGCCACCGTGAATTCAACACAGAAAAACCAAACTGGCCACCAGAAGAAGAGATCGACCCACTAGCCGACTATATTGCCAACATCGACAATGACTACCACGAGGAAGTGACATCCGGTGCAAAGATTGATATAGAAGGTGACATTGACGTCGAAAAAGTCGCAACGCAACTAGATCTGTCGGCTTCAAGCCCCACAGGCTTCAAAATCGAATCACTAGGATCACTAGCTCAAATGCAAATTGACACCGAACATGACTCAGTTTCAACATCAAGCGAAGATGACGAGCGCGACATAGTCATATCTGGATCAGATGACGACAACTTTGAAGATTTCGTGCTGCTCGAGGACCTGGCGAACGGATATTCTGGGTCACTCAAGAAGAAATCCCGTCATGGAAAGCCTTCATTTCCATCGGCATCGGCACTTGCGGATGCTCTTGAGTCTGATCCATATTTCGGGTTTGACATAATGGACTTTGACCGGCCAAGTCTACGAAAGAAACCCAAGGGCAAGCAGTTCATCCCTGACCCAGTACTATCCGACAGTGAATTCGAGATCGAGCTACAGGAGGCCTGGCAGAACGACCGAACCAAAAAGAGGCTGCGGAAGATGGAACGAGAAGAGCTCCGAGCGCAAGGACTCCTGGGAAAAAAGGCAGGGAACCCAGACCTCAAGGTCAAGTACCCCAAGGAAATGAACATGGAGGAATTTATGACCGAGCTTCGCTTATTCCTTATGTCCGCTAAAAATAGGTTTGTTGTATATCTGCTCATTCTCATCAACCTAGCTAACCCAATATAGCCTGTCCTTGCCGCCCATGACCAAGCAGCGCAGAAAGCTGATACATGAGTTGGCCAATGCACTGAATCTGAAATCACAGTCACGCGGCAATGGGCTTTCTCGCTTCCCGGTCCTTAATAAGACTGCGCGCACTCCGCGATACACACCCAAGACTATATCTAATGTTGACGAGCTCCTATCCGGGAGGAAGTTCAATCGTCGGTTGTTCAAATCATGGGGCACGGAAGTGCAGAAATTCTCCCAACCCAAGCGTGGGAAGTCCGGTGCTGCTTCATACATGGATGGCGATGTGGTTGGCGCCTCTGCTCCGGAAATCGGTGCTGAAAACCGAGGGCGGGCTATGCTGGAGAAGATGGGATGGAGTACAGGTACTGCTCTGGGTGCCGCCGACAACAAGGGAATCTTGCAGCCTGTCGCGCAGGTCGTGAAGAACTCGCGGGCTGGGTTAGGTTAGATGCTTGGATTTGTGTCATATCCTTATCTTTTATCTTTATTTAATTAAAAACGGCAAATGAGCCTCATGGATGTGTTTCTAGTGTCTCCCCCCTTCCTAGCAACAGACCCAGTCAATGGTTGGGCGTGGTCGAGGTCTTTAATATGATCGAATAATTTAGACCTGGACGTGAAGGGAGCCTGGCAGTTTGCACATATAAACCTGGGTTGATCTGCTTGCTTCGCGGCCTTTTTCGCTCGTTTCTGCTTGGCCTTGCCCATCCTGGGAGTTGATGACTGCTCGGTGAGATCCGAAGATAACGGGTGATCAGGCATATCAGAGTCTCCAGCGCCCGTAGACAAATAATCCATATCGGCGCGGAGCCTCGTCTCAACATATTCCCGGGAGGCATAATCGTCATCATGCGAAGACGTTGGGGAGTTTGTCTCGGAGACAGTGGTGGTTTCCTCTGGACCATGTGAACTTCCATGATCCCCAGCATCAATGCCGTGGCTCTTCAAGGAATTTGATCCTAGATCGACCTGTGAGGCAGCGTCAACCTCAAGAGGAGGGTTTGTTGTAACTGCATTGGCAGTCAAGTCATCGGCGGACTCCAATTCCAATTCGTCATTCTGCATTCGCATCTCCCAGCATAGCTGTTTGACTGCCTTCAAATGCTTCTTGCTGCGTTCGTGCGCCTCGAATTGCTTCTGGCTTTTGAAATATTTGTGGCATGCAACACACTCAAAACTCTCGACTTCGCTCTCCTCGCTCTTCTCTTGGTCGTCAGATACCACTGGCTGTTCTGACTGGGCCCACTCGGGGAGTACATGATCCCGCATCTTGGCTTGATTCACAGCTCGTGATCTTGCAGCTTGTGCAGCCACAGACTGGCGGAGAGTTTCCTGGCGTTGAGCCTCACTCTGGACATTGACTTTATAACGTGGGTCACGTTTTTTGACAAAAGCCACGAGGGACCTGACAGCATCGTTAAATTCTCGGATGCCCTCCTCTCGAAGACGTTTGTTCTCCTTTTCCATCATTCGTCGCACTCGGCGATCCGGCGCTTCAGAATAACGATGAGCATCCTTCCATGCGAATGACTTTTGGGTGGAGAACCCGGTCCATGCCGCATAGAATGGCCGTACAACGTTCTCAAAATCATCGCTACTATATCCGAATGATGGATATTCAATGGGATCTTGATTCTCCCACTGACAGGCCAATCTCTCTTCCAGCGCGAGCTGTTCAAATTGCTCTCGCAAACCACCAAAGAATCCGGTTGGAGAATCGGAGAATTCCATTCGAGGACTGAACTTCGAAAAGAGTTTGAGGACATCTTCGGCTGTTGTGATACGAACATTATACGAGTGTTGATCATCGGTATTTCCGTTTGTGCCTAAAAATGCATCGCTATGGGAGTCGTACCATGCTCGTTCCTGGGGATCCGCCAGTACTTCGTAGGCAGATTGGATTTCCGCAAACAGCTTGGTAGCCTCGTCAACATTCCCATAATTTCGATCTGGGTGCAACACAAGAGCTTTTTTTCGATATGCTTTTTTGATCCTGAGAGGTCGGGCAAGTTTTAGTTATATCCACCAACAATTTCATATAAACTTACTCCTCATCCGTTGCACCACGTGCTACACCAAGCAGCTCATAATAGTCGGTCTTCCGGTCTGATTGTTCCGAAGCGCTGGAACTTGCCTGGCTGGTGGACTGAAATTGGCCCATGGCGTGTAATAGAGAAGAGAGAGAATGGAGAGAATGTCGAATACCGCAATGATCGCGGTTGTTTTTGAATAAAAATTTTAGTAATTCATTTCAAATATCTCAAAGATATCATGGTAGAATAGGAGTGTCTATAAATGTTCTACAAGTAGAAGAAAAGGAAGAAAAAGAAAACATTGTCAACGACGAAGTTCAAGGCTTGGCGCCCGATAGATAAGAAAGGCGGGGAGAAACATCCAATTGCCTCGGTGCTATTTTCCTGTTTCCACTATTTTCCTACTTCCTCTCTGTTCTACTTTTTCTTGGATTTGATTTTCTTTGAGGAATGTAAAGCCGTTCTTCCATTCTGATTATCCTCTCTTCTCCTCCCATTAATCTTCCACCTTCAGGGATGGTTCGGTCTTTAATCCATCTTCCAGACGAGATCCTGCATTCGATTCTATGTTATTCCACTCCTCAATCCTGCGCCGCCGTCGAACAAACCAACAGTCGATTTCAAAACGTAACGAATGAGCATTTACTATGGCGTTACCATTGCCTGTCGCATTACAAGTTCTGGGATGGGCGACATGATATGCCTCGGAAACTTGCACACCCAGTGAATTCAACTGATTGGAAAGCACTATTTGTCTTCAAGTATCACGTTGATCGATCTGTCACCCAACTTCTTGATAGTATTCTTGGTAGCCAGACCGGCCGGATCGAGAAATTTCGCCGTGTTATCAATATGGGATATGATGCAAAGGATACTCTTCTACGATATAGCCTGATAGAGTCCGGGGAGGATTGTTTGGCCAGAAGGTGGGCTACCAATTCTATGCAAGTTGGCATGTGTTTCCCTCGAATTGACCAGAGTGCCTCGTGCCAAACACAAAAGGTACTATGCCCACGCGCTCTTGACTTGTCTGCACCGAAGCATTGCCATACCAGAATGGGCGAAACTCAAACGCGGAGAACCCGTGTCACTCGACAGAGCCTTGGCCTGCTTTGATCTCTTTATACCCGAGACTGGAACTGGTGACTTGGATGAAGTAGGTGTTATCCTAGTGTGACCCCTCGACAAATCTATACCTGACTTTGATTTAGATACGAGAGTCTCTGAATGAGCTGCTCGACCGCTTTATTGCTTCTCACCCGGATCTTTATATCTTCACCCCTCGTGAGAAGGCACTAGCCGTAGCATCCTGGCTAGAGTTGGATGGTCTCACGGGGATCAATCCAGAGCGAGAATATCATTCTTTGGAGCACAACTTTTTAGGGCTGGCTCTAAAGGGTCCTGAGCATAACTCTCTGCCATTGGTATCAGCAGCGATATATTGCTTTGTTGCGCAGGGGGTGGGTCTGAACGCCCATCCTTGTGGATTTCCATTTCATGTGCATGTGATCATTACCCCCCACCGGGCTCAGACATTAATGGCAATGCTCTAAGTGGGATTGGGCGAGGGGAGCCCCTTTACTTGGACCCGTTTCGGGGTGCAAGAGAGACTCCTGTCTTAAACTTGCGCAGCCAATTAACATTTCTGGGAATGTCCGACATGGACCAAATCACAACTTTGGATGAAGCATCGACTTCGAGCGTCATCTTGCGCTGTGGTAAGAACATATTGAACTCGATTCGTGTCGAACCACAAAATCCGACCTCGCGTGCCACCTCGATAGATGTTGTGAGCGCAAAGTACGCAGCACTCTGGTCTGTGATGCTACTGTCCGGCGATTCGAGGCCAATGGATCTACGCCATCAGTTGCCATGGCTCATGGAACTGTTTGCTACAGACTTTCCTTCCGATATATTTCTAGTCGAGCAGTACATCGCTCCTCTGTTTCATGGGCTGTTCGAGCATGAACACATACTGGAGAGCCTTCATGTGATGAGGGCTGTGGATGAGATCCCAAAGCAGATTCGGAGGCGAACCGGTGGCAATGCAAATATACAATACAAGGTGGGCCAGATTTTCCGCCACCGTCGCTATCATTACGAAGCTATTATCACGGGTTGGGACTCGGAATGTGGCGCGGGCGAACAATGGATGAGGAGAATGGGCATTGATCGATTAGAATCTGGCAGGCACCAAAGCTTTTATCATGTGCTGTGAGTAGTACTTGTGTCCTCTTCCTGGCTAGTGGCTAACGATGGGTGCATAGTGTGGCGGATCGAAGTGTTCGATATGTGGCCGAGGAAAATATTGAAATAATTCTGCCTCGCTTCACGGAATTGCCGAGTAGCTTGACTGCCATTGCGGGTAAGCATTTCAAACGGTGGGATGAGAGGAAACGGATGTTTGTGAGTAACATGAAGGACGAATACCCGGATGACTAGTTTAAATAAGAGATACTATTTGCACACCCCTAAAATACTCGTTAATAAATCTATATATTATCCGTATGATAGTTCTATTATTATAGCTTTCTATAGCTTATTTAGATGGAAAACTAACGTATTTCACATGCGAGTGGTCCACACAAGCGAGTGGTCCACGCAAAAACACATAGTAAAAGCGATATAGTTGTCACTTATATTTCAACAACTAACGTTTTATCTAGCTTCATAACTTGCCGATAATGATTGATAAGCATTTTTAATATAATATATCAATCTTAAACGAATTGAATACTTCCATTGTTGTGGTATTAAAAATTACGCCGCTGGATTCTACGAATATATATATCTCAATTACCAGCCTATTAAATTCCCTCAAAATATATAAAGTAACTAGATATCATATAAGCAGCATTAGGCTGCAAGAGCCAGTTTATATACAAAACCGTTGTTGCACTAACATGTTGTAATTTATCGCTTTTACTATGTGTTTTGGCGTGGACCACTGGCTTGTGTGGACCACTCGCATGTGAAATACGTTAGAGATATTTGGATTAAGTTAGGTAGCTTTAACTAACGTATTTCATAAGCGAGCCGCCACTACCACCTAGTCTATATTATTTAAATCCATTTATCCTAACCATGACACCATTAAATTGATTAACTTAACTAAGTGGTCTATCTGGACATGTTTCTCTTCTATGCCCTGGTAATCTATATATTCCACACCTGCCTTCTAGATCGGGTGCGCTTTTACTTCTTCTTCTCGGTTTTAGCGCATAATTCCTTATTTTCTTTCGCTAATAAAATATCGTTATGCATTATGAGCTAGAAGCCTTTTATAAGTTAATCTAATGCACGATCTAACGGGCTAGGCGGACTCCGAGATCTTATACGAAGTAAAGCTTTAATTAACGAAGCCTATTAACATAATTCCTTCTCTATAGTTAGCTAGTGTTTTTAGTGTAAAATTTCGACTTAATTCGCTCCCCTAGCTTAGAGAGGGGTCGGTGTTCGAAGATCAATATTTAGCTTCGAGATCACTCGACCGGGTATAAAAGGTACTAAATCAGCTACTCCGAAGCTATTTTTAATAGTCTCTGATTTAAAGGCTTTAATTCATGCGAGGGGGTACGCTTCGAGGAAGTTAAGTTTATCTATATAGTTAATCCCGCTCCGTATTTCTATCTTAACTAGCCGACTATATGATCGTTTTAATATAGTAAAATAACCGATATCGAGAGGCTCTAAAAGGTGGGACGAGTGAGGAGGTATATAGATTAGTATCACCTTATTTTTTACTCATAAATCTCATAGAATTTAGGGGTTAAATGGCTTCCGTGACTATCGAGTATTAAAAGTCGATACCCCCCCCCCCTTTATACCGAAGAAGTCTTCGGAATAAAGAGCTTTTTAAGCTAGCGAAGTCTAATTTTATTAGAGGTCTAACGGTTCGGACTAACTTTAAATTACTAGTTATCCGGAAGGCCGTCGAACTAAGATTCGACGATGGCTTTACCTTTAAAAATCATATATAGAAGGAGGGCCTACCCTAAAGCATTCGTACACTTAATAATAGTCACCTATTCACGATTACTAGGCTATAAAAGCGAGCGCTAACTAGGGAGATCACTCCTCGTGATCACCTTTACTATAGCGATTAACCCTATCGCGAAACCGGTCTCGTCGAAGTTATAAATATTATCGGGGTCGATTCTAAATTAAAGGATTATTTTTTAAATAATATTGAACCACCCTTAAATGATTTTTGGGTCTTTATATTTCGCACGCTCGTGATTATAGCGTCTCGAGAATCAGGAGGAGAGGAAAGGGCATCGTTTCACGAAGTTATAAACCCATTTTTCGCGGACCGAAATAACCGGGGTAGTTCCGCGTTATTAAAGTAAAAGATTCGCCATTTCTCGTATAATAGAAGGCCGGGGGGCAGATCCACGAGAATCCATAGAAAGAATGCATTTTTAAAGAGATTCCTTAGTTTCTGTTAATCTTTGCGAATTTACGCGAGAATTCGCGCGGTTTCTGACACCATTTAGGCGCGTAGTAAGGGTGGAACGGGGTACGTTAAATAGCCGGGCCACTTCACGAATTAATGAAATTTCTTGCTTTTAAAAAGCCTGAATAGCTCATCAGATCCTAACCTCTTACTCTGCTGGATTACTAGAGGATCGGCGGCGAATTAGTGGCATGGTGGGTGGTTAGATTGATTAAGTGCTAATTTATGGGCGCGTTTTAGGTGAGGTGGCCAGCTTGCTTACATGACCAGCTCGCTTACCGAATACGTTAACTAGGGAGTTTACTCCTTATAATTACCTTCGCTATAGCAATTAACCCTATTATAAAACTAGTCTTATCGAAGTTATAAACGCCGTTAAGATTAATTCTAAATTAGAGTAATATTTTTTTAAATAAGATCGAATCACTCTCGAATGATTTTTAGGTCTTTATATGTCGTATATTTATAATTATAGCGTTTTAAGAATTAAGAGCAGAGGATAGGGTGTCGTTTTATAAAATTTATAACCTAGTTTTCGCCGACTAAAATAATTAGGGTAGCTACGCCTTTTAAGAAGATTCGTTATTTCTCGTATAGTAGTAAGGCGAGGGGCTAATCTATAAAAATTTAAGAGAGAATCTATTTCTAAAGAGATTCCTCCTTAATCTCTATTAATTTATAGGAATTTACGCGTATAGTGCTTCGATTAGTATAGCTATTAAGGCGGTCGCGTAAAGTTAAACGTAGCATATAAAAAGTGCGGGTAGTGATAGTAATAATACTAAATTCTTAGTTCTTAAAAGCCTAAATAGCTAATAAGATTCTACCCTCTTACTCTACTAAATTTCGAGAGGATTAGGACTAAATTAATAGTATAGTGGGTAGTTAAATTAATAAGTGCTAATTTATAGACGTATTTTATAAGTAGACTTCGGCATAACCCACTCTAACCCGGACCCAACCCAACCTAACCCAAAATGGGCTTTGGGTCCATTGCTTCGACCTAACGATGGGTTTTAGGTTATAGCTCATAACCCAAAACCCATTGGGTAACCTATTGGGGCCCTAATATAGTGTAAACCAGATAAACAGACTTCTAGCATATAACTGCATAATTAATGCATTTTTTGCTTATAATATTAAGTATTTTACTTATAGCGCTCTTCTAGAATAAATTGAGAATAAATTAAATAATTAAATTAGGATATATTTCTCTAATATTACTCGAAATCCTCATCTGCCCTGCTCTTACGCTTCCTCCCTAAGGCCCGTCTCTGAGTTATAGTCTCTAGTAACTCTGGCTCTGTCACCTCTATATCTATATCTATTAAATGAGGAGATGTCTCTCGCAGTCTATTATCTACTCCTTCTTCCTCTTTATTATCACTAACCAGGTTAAGCTTAGTATCCTCTGTATATTCATCGTTCTACTCCTTCGCCGACTTAATCTTAGCTAGTATAAAGAACTACTTAAGCTACTTTACCTCAGTATCCTTAACGTATTTCACAAGCGAGTGACGCACACAAGCGAGTGACGCACCCCAACCAAAACGCGTCCATGATTTAGCACTTAATCATTTCAAACCCCCACCATGCCACCAATTCGCTCTTAAAGCTGTCAAAATTCAACACAGCAAGAGGGTAGGATATTATTAGCTATTAAGGCTTTTAAAAATCAAGAATTCGCCTCTATTCGTGGAGCAGCACGCTGTTTTTAAGTGCCTGAGGCCACCCTCCGTCGACGCCTCCGAGGGGTTGAAAGTCGCGCGACTTCACGCGTAAACTCCCATAAATTGACATTAATTAAAGAGGAATCTCTTCAAAAATGGATCGTCTCTATGGACTCTCGTGGAGCAGCTCCCCGCCCTACTACTACTGTACGAGAAATGGCGAATCTTTTACTTTAATAACGTGGTATAACCCCAGCTCCTTCGGTCGGCGAAAATTAGGTTATAAACTTCATTAAACGATATCCTCTCCTCTCCTCCCGATTCACGAAACGATATAATTTCGAACGTGCAAAGTGCGAAGATCTAAAGATTATCTAAGAGTGGTTTAATCTTATTTAAAAAACCATCTTTTAATTTAGGATCGATCCTGAAGACGTTTATAACTTTAACGAGACTGGTTTCGCAATGGGATTAATCGCTACTACGAAGGTAGTTATAAGAGCTGAATTCTACGGTTAGCGCCCGCTTTTATAACCTGAAAATCGTGAATGGGTGACTGCTATTAAGTGTATAAATTCAGCGGGGTGGGCCCTCCCTCCGTGTATCATTTTTAAAGGCAAAGTCTACTTAGAATCATGGTTTAAAGGCCTACTAAACGACTAGCGAATTGAAGTTAGTCCTAATGGTTAGACTTCAGATGAAATAGGAGTTCGCTGGCTTAAAAAGCTCTTTATTCCTAGCACTTCTCTTCGTACGAAGGGAAGGTATAGGCTGCTAGTTCTTAACGGACACGGGAGTCATTTAACCCTAAAATTCGATGAACTTTACGAGTAAAATAGGATAATACCTATTTATATGCCTCCGCACTCCTCTCATCTTTTATAGCCTCTCGATATTAGCTGTTTTGCTGTGTTAAAACGATCATACGGGCGGCTGGTGGAGATAAAAATGAGGCTCTAAGTGAATCATATTGATAAACTTAACTTCCTCGAAGCATACCCCCTCGCACGAATTAAAGCTTTTAAATCGGAAACTATTAAGAATAGCTTCGGAGTAGCTGGTTTAGTCCCTTTTTCACCAGAAAGAGTGATCTCGAAGCTGAATATTTAACTTCGAACCCTAACACCCCCCCTAGCAGGGGGAGCGATTTAAGCCGGAATTTCACACTAAAAACACCTACTAACGTATTTCACTACCGAGTCGGCCACACCACCGAGTCGGCCACCCCACCCAAAACGCGTCAATTAATTTTAACCCTTTATCTTCAACCACCCACTATGCCACCAATTCGCTCCCAAACCTCTAGAAATTCAACA